CTTAACGTAACACTGTGTATGCTTTGTCACTGCTCATTTTACTTTACTTAAACGTTTGAGTTTCAAAACTGCATTTTATTAAATTCAAGCACAGTAGTCCTGTAATATTGATGGCGTGGTTACAGTGCTAGTAATGTATTTTGGAAGTTCAAGATGCCGTTATAGACGACGTTAATTCATTCTGAGATTTCTCCTAGTATTCTCCCATTTCCTGGAAAAATTGTAAGATGTGTGATACTACTATGTTTGTGTAGATGGCAGTATTCTGGGTTATTGTACCGTGTTCAGACTTTTGCCAGTATACCAATGTTTTGAAGGAAGCCACTTCTTCCATCTTCAGGGCTAAAAATTGAAGCAGTATTTCTCTTTCTGTGCAGGACAGTTTAGAGCCAGCAGTCTGCGCGACCTTCTCATGTCGCCGTGGAAACCTCAGACCTTACAATTTGATTATCAATTATTCCACTCCACAGAATTATAATCCTTTGTACCAGAGCACTGCCTTTCGGGCACAATTTTAAATTTATGACTACCAATATGAGTGAGACAGATTATCGTGACTTGACTGTACTTGGCAGGGGGCGTTGTGATATATTACCATTGTTACTGTTCACCGATTCTATTAACGGACACTGCCACCTTGTTAGAACCTTGCCTTGTATCCCAGAAACGTGCTACGAGATAAATGAAAGAGAAAGGAGTTGGGTGGGAGCTGTATTTTTGTCCCCTAGAGACTGTTATAGCTGAGAGCAGAGGGTTTGTATTCCTCGTGGAGGGTTAGATCGATATTTAAAAACGCGACAAATTAGATCAATTACTTTTATAGAGAAGACAGAAGTCAGTGAGTCATACTGTATTGCAAAACCGGAATTAAACATCTGATCTTTGAACACCATTTACAGATGCTGATATTTTTCAGCGAGAGATGATGCCTACCCACAAAGGGCCCCGACTTAGTAAAATTGTTGATCAGCGCATTAATGCACCACGAGCAGTAAAACAACAGATATAGCAAAATCAAACAAAGCAGGTGTCGTTAGGTAAAGTTTAATTTAATTTCTAGTGTTCCTCTAATGCTTATCCAACATACAATATCGGATCATAGCAATATTGTATTTCGTAACATACGTAACATGTACATTTAAAAGATTATTGATATTCTGGGATAGGTAAAGGCAAATGGGAAAATAATACAGCAGTTGTATGAAAAATTTTAATGTACTGGCACCTTCGTAAATTTGTTATAATCTGTATCATATAACTAGTGCCAGCTCTTTCAAAATTTGTGGCGTTAGTATGTTGCAAAGCTAAAGTTTTTTTCTTAGATTCTGTATCTGTTGCTATCCTCGTAACACAAGGTAAATAATTTAGTATGACATTTCGTATTTGTTTTTCATGCATTTCCATGAATCTGGACATACAAAATATATGCCGAGTTTTGCAACTCGCATTTCCATGAATCTGGACATACAAAACATATGCCGAGTTTTGCAACTTAAGCCTTCATTTTTCACGTGATGCTCTATTTCTTTGCTTCCAAGTACGATTTGGCGTATTTAGTTTACGTGTTTTCGAGTAGTTCTGTATCTCTACGTCAACAAGTTTATTTCCGTGTCGAAGAACGCCTCGTACCTCGTCGGTGTCTAGTCGACCGTGTAAGGATACATTCTACAAACATCCAAAGAATCTCGTAATCGTGTCTTGCCTAAGACTTGCGAGTAACATAAATTCCTCACGTTGGTATCAGCCTTTAACCTAGACAGTCCGCGGGCGAACTGCGAATCTTGAGCTTCCTGAAGACATTTAAAGAATTTAATTTTACACATTTTACCAGCATTCTTTTACGTCAGGTTTCTGCTAAAATATGGCGCCGGCTACAACTGCAAGGGTCTATTTCTTCTTCCCTTACACAAACCCAGAATCGCAAATGTTGATACAACAAGTGAAACTCTCTCGAGAGTATCAACAAGCCCACCAACTTAACTCCACTTTGCAGAAGCATTCTTTAAAAGAAATGAAATTTCTCATCTTATGGTCATTCTCTGTGACGTTCATTTCAACCGCCTTCACGTGGAACTCGAATGAGAGGAAATATGTGAAGGAAGTTGAAGACGAACCTTTAGCTGATTTATACCCACAATTTTACCGTGGCGGTGGTGGTGGCGGCCTCCAGGTGTTCTTGCCATTTTGATTGAAACATAAATCGGACCGACTGCTGGGAACGCATCGGGCACCAGTCACCGGTCACCCCAATCCACCCCTCTCATCAATCTGTCGTATCTTAACTGAACGTCCCACTGGAAGCAGGGCGGTCCATTGGCGAATTTAACCTGTTCTGCAAGACCGCTTTAGTCCTTACAGCCGTTCTCATTCAAGGCATGTGGAGTCGAAATGGATGGCTCGCATTCAATTCTAAAACAATCCCTTCATGTTTAAAATGAACACATTAGCCCCGAGACAGATTTTCCTCCCAGTTTTGCTCCCTGATTATTATCATTATTTAATTGGATCTCCATACTCTACCAGCGGACTAGTGCGACAGGTGCAACCAACCTGCACGTTATCAGAATATTAATTAGTATTTTGGATTCAGGGTAGTTGGTGGAATTCAGCTTACCATTGTCTTTCCTGTTTGAGGCTAATTAACGAGGTATTTAGGGGAAGGAATGACTAATTTTGTGTCGGTAATACATTTATCTGTCTGTATCTCAGAATGTGTGGGATCGAATGATGGACGGAAAAGACGAATGAAAGATGTAAGAAGAGAAATACGTAAATGAAAATAATGAGAAAGGAAAGAGAGACGTACTTGACTGTAGAGAAATAAATGAAGCGAGGAAGTTAGGCCCAATAACCACGGCAGTCGTTTAAGTTTGAGGGGGGGAGGGGGAGATCGGAAACGGGAAGACGTCATGTCGTAAGAAACAAGGCACAACAGGTCCGGGGCTTCTTGTTTTCCCGTTGTATCGGGCTGGTTTATATCCCGTGTCGCGGACAAGACTTTGTATGTGCGTCTTCCTCATCTTCACTCGCATCACGTCAGCTCTGCACGGACATCAAGGTGGCTCTGCGGCTAACCCACTTTCAGTAACGAACTTCTGGCCCACCGGTGTGCGGCGATGAGCTGGGATTGAGTCGTAATTCTGCAGGGGTTAGGCGCACGGCCTGCATGACAATAATTCCACATTCTCATGTTCCACTGCTCGTTGCCAGGACGCACATCCCATGTTTATTTACTCTCATAACAATCTGATATTTCCTGCAGTAATGACCTATAGCTCATTCTACAAAATGTAAAGCATTGACATCAACGGAAACTATAAATGTAACTATGTTTTAAAATTCTTCTCACAAAGATGTGTGGAGGGAATGAATAAGTCAGTCCTCTGAGTTGTGACACCGTGTGAGACTTGCAGGTACACGTCATTGTTTCGGAGTAAATTGCTGTCTTCATCTTCAGGACTGTATATCCGTATCTACCTGTAAGTCCATACGACGTTCGACCCAGAAGACTTAACATCGATGCAATGTGAGAACCTCAGATGTCACAAGTTAACGGTTGTAGCTACAATGCATTCGAAGTTTTAGTTCATAACAGACAGGGAAATTTGAAAATAATTGGCACCGCACCTTCTCGGTCTCGAATCTGATACGTTCTCAACGGAGCACCATTGTCTTCCCCTACATCACAGGCATAATATTTTATAATAACCATAATCAAATTGCCTCATATACATTTATTTTGTACTCGGATATTAAGTTTCACCAAAATTCGCTAGGTACAAAGATGGAACGCGCAGACACATGAGCTGACATAAACTAGCGTTCCATTACCCTCTTCATTTATGTAAATTATACAAAGAATGCATATATATGTTGAGTCCTTCGCGAGTTCTCATCTCGCCAGAGCAGACCTGTTTAATGCCCAACGGCAGTCCCTTAATTTGACGTGGACATATGTTTCACTGCCACTGCAAAACAGTGGAGTATGTAAGAGGACAGATTTACTGGACACGATGACTGCTTGTCTGCAAAACACAAAAGTGGAACAAGTAATAAATATGTCTAAATTTGCCTCACATTCTTGTTTGCCTGCTCGGATGCCCTTTTTATCTGTTCAAACCACCATTGTTTTCTTTCGGAATCAGATAATTGTAACGCCTAGGAAGTGCGGACATTCTCGTACCTATAATGTTAATTGAGTTGGGTGCAATTTTCTGTCTAAAAAATACAGATTATAAATTTGAAAAAAATTGGCGTATTCTGAACTCCATGTTCGAAAGGCAATAAACTTGAATGAACGAGATTCGATTTTAAATTGTAGTTTTAATAAAATTTAATATAATATTTTCACTAAACACGAAAGAGTTGGGTTCATATAATTTATATCATACATCCAAAATAATTAAATTAAATTCTGATTACTGTGTACTGAGTAGTAAGTGGGCCATGATGCCCAGTTATATTATTTCAGTTATTGTAGTTCCTCACACGCTCTCTCTATAACTAATTCTATAAACAGAGTCCTCGAGATTATTTTAGCTATTCACTTTTCTGACTTCGGACTGAACGATTGGAGTTTGAACCCCAGCTTGGTCAAAGGACTTTTCTTTTGGGTCTACATCCAGACCGGCTCTAGGGTCCACCCAGCATCCAATCCTGTGGGTTCTAGGGCTCCTTTCCCCGGAAATTAAGGCGATCTAGTAACGAGACCGAGAACAACTGGAGTTATACCACCTCTCATCTTTGCTTTATATTTAAACTTCGAGGATGTTTAATAAATCACTTTCATAATTCGGCATTGTCTTGCTTTCTCACAGCAAACGAATCAATCTACAAATTACCTCGAAACGAGATATTAATTTACTCTTTCATTAAATTGCATTGCGTAGCGTCGGATGTTAGTGCTAACTGGACTTTATTAAAGTGTACTCGTATGTGGTGAACCATACTCATGTTATCAGAGAGAACTTACGATATATTATTCCTTTTTTTTTTTTTAGAGAACGCGACCCAGTGAGAGCGAATCTAGCAAGAGAATCACACTTACAGTGGTACACCTTTCATTATGGGTGAGTAATGACCGCTTGTTCTTGTACTATACTGTCAGACATGTTTATGTAAGTTATTCGGTTTTTGCTTGTGTTCGTAATACGAACTGAACATTGTTTGAAAACTGTGCATTCTCCTATTCTTGTGTGATTGATTATGGGCATGTGCGCTTAACTGATATCCGCACGGATCGCAACTAAACATTATTTTTGTTTTCTAGGGTCAGTTACGCTATTTAAGAAAGCGATCATTTTGAGTTTTGTAAGAATGGTTCGTTCTTTCACATTTGTGAGAGGTAGGACATCACACAGCATATATTAAACTAACATTTTTTCAAATAGATTCATTTTACCTGATTTTCTCTTTTGGTAATTTAACTACGCTTTTTCAACACAAAGAAATATAAGCTGTCTAATGGTTGGACGTTTGTGAACTGTGAATGGAAACGGACACCGTATTGTGTGCTCTGAGATTCGAATGTCCTGTTTCCCGAGTACGAATAAATATGTTGTGTTTCACCACGTACTTATATCAGAGCTTCTGAAGGCCACATACTGTAGCGTAACATGTACGATTAGAGGACAGATCAAATAGCCAACTGGTACTGACCTTTATATAAATTCTTTCAAAACTCACCTTTGTCGTAGGAAGATTTTGGGAGAATTGTTTCGCAGCTGCTGGTTTCGATTTTGACTGCTGCCAGTGATGTCAAGGCTAGAAATAATGTGTTTAACGAGTCAGCTGGAAGAAAATTCGGCAACTATTGGTAGCGTTATATAAAAATATATCAATAATATTTCCATAACAGATTAGTAATCCATATTATTTCAGTGCACTTTATTTTAAGAAACGCTGCATTGAAAATAAAGCTTATTCTTACCCGTAGCAACAATACGATATAAAATAGACAAATATTTAACACAACTGCGATGTAATGAGTATAGGGTTTAGATAACACTGTTAGATTTATTATAACCTTCATCTGTAGGTGATTAGTTATGGTAAGCAGTAGACATTCACATGAAGTAAAAAACATAAGCAGATTTTGTGAAAATCCATGGTATGTATGTTCCCGATTTGTGACGTAGGATAAAAAGCACATTTGTACGAAGAATTACAGTTAGCCTCATAACACACTTAACCGCGACTCATCCATCCACAGCGAGAACACTTGGCAATCCAAATATACACCGAATGTAAGTGCCAAAACATCGCAAGTCGTAATATCATTGTCGCCGTCGAGGGGTTAGCATATCTGCTTTGTATTTGGGAGGTTCTAGTATCAAATGTCGGTCTGAAAACCAGCTATAGGCCAACTTCGTAATAATTTTATGCTTCTGTGTGAATGTTGGGATAGTAGCAACCTTAGATTTTACTATTACATCTGTCTACTATTTTCCAAATTATCATTAATAAATTTTACTATTTGAAACTACTTAATGTTTTCAGTTGAGAAGGATGGTAATATAAACAAAACAAAATAAATTCAAATTAATTCTGGGATTAATACTTACAACCGGTCACGACCGCTTCCTTTTATAACCTTCTCATCTCATTGTTGATAACAATTACCTTAGGTTTCAACAACGCAGTGTTAGCACCCAAGAGGGTACATAATAATTCTCAGTAGCATGTGGTCTGTAATAAATGGCAGTAGATCTTGCGTTGCGTTGTATCCCGATTATAAATAAGTAAGGGCCAAAACCTTGCAGTCCTCCATGTCGTAATTCACATCTCTCATCTTCTATCCACGCCCGCTCAAACTGGAAGAACGTGTTTTACTGCACCGGGAGCAAAGCAGAATATGTTTTGCAATTTTCTTGCTACTGGATGGAAGCAGAGAGAAGAAGAACAAAAACCCACATGGTTCGCCATGGTCTCATGCAGCAGTTCAGCTCTCTCCCAACTTCACACCGTACACTTGCATAATTAGACGTCACAGTTAATTGTTTCTGTATAATTGCTCGGTGGTAACCCAAGCCACCGCTTTCCCAGGAGATGAGACTCGAGTCATTTTCAATTCCGTCCGACGTTCCCGCCTGTATTTTTACTGCAACCAACCACAAGAACCGCGCGCTTTGCCTTTCTGCCCTTCTGAATTCACATTTGAACGCGAGGAACTTTAAAATTAAAATCGAGCGGTCTGTTCATCGAAGTCGACCAATGCGCATTACATATGCATATTTGCGACTATAAAAACATCACTCTGATCGAGAGTACTTGTCAGGGTACACTACTCCATCTCTCGCCAGCTGTCGTTATTGTCAGGGTTGCAATAGCGTCCTGATTCTCAGGGCTTCGCATCGAATGAGGGCGAATGGAGATGAAGTTTTGCATTACCTCATACCACTACCTAAAGGGAAACGTAGCTTTAGTTTCGGGCTCAGTCCATTGCTTACAAAATTCTGTATCCTGTACGAAATGGAGTGTTTCAGTGTTAAAATATTTTGCTGGCAGCTGTAAGTTTCTTTAAAGGTTTAAAGTGGAAAAGCCGAATCGTAGAAATAGGTATTTCCGTAAATCACTCAAAATTCCATCTAGGCTAAAGGTGATGTTCTGACGAACAAATTACAGCCCGTCCGGAATATAACGTAGCCAGGTTTCCTGCTCCGTGAACCTTGTAAATACGACGTTTATGTAAAAATACCTTAGAAGTGGAATACTTTGTTCTGTAAATACGACGTTTATGTAAAAATACTCGAACCTTGGCTGCGTACCTTAGAAGTGGAATAATTTGTTATGTACAAGAAATCGGGGAGAATGAACTACGCCGAATACTGTTGTGAAATAAGTTTCAGTGTTGGACGACACCACTTTCAACAGCTGCTCTGAAACCATGGCAAGTGTAGCAAATTCGCTGTCATTATTCATTCACGAATGAATCTTCCTCCCTCTGTAGCTGAAGTTCTGAGTCTTTCTACCGCTTTAGTGCCCAAGCAACTGCTAGTGTTTCCCTTCCTTCGAAGTTTTCGTAAACTTTTCTTTGGGATTATCTGCGTTTTCTTTCATGTGAAGAGTAATGTTAAAAGTTCGAATCACCGCTATGTTTTATGCTATTATTGGCATTCATTTATTGTTCTCCTTGTTTACTAATCTGTATATCAAAGATTCTAAACTGTTCAAACAGTGAAAGAAACTTGTATGTTCAGTTCCTTAAAATCCCTTACATTTATCCTGTACAGAATGGGCATTAAGGCGCATATAAACCAGATTACAATAGAATACTCAGCCTTCCTGCACAACAAGGCACAGTGAGGAAGTCGGTCTTTGGTTCCTCTGAAATGTATTGTTTATGTCATAGAATGTAGAGCTTGTTTTGTTTTGTTTTGAGCTCATAACCGTTATTGTGATCCACTTGATTAAAGTTCTTTTGTTCGTCTCCTGTTTTGAATATTAATGTTATTTACCGAGACTTACGCTTCAGAGCTTTCATACCGGATACAATACAAGGAATATAAGCATTGCAACACATAAGAGAACACTGTTAATCCGAATACTCGTACGTTTAGAACTACCATTCTTTAAAAACCAAGAGGCTTAATAGAAAATGTCATACGAATTTGATAAGAACGCGCTTTTTAAAGAGAAAATAATTTCGTAAAATTTATTAAAACTATGTAACGTGGATTACCTAAAACTCTATAGGATTAAACGTTTAACTAGCTCCATGGAGCAGTCATCTTTGAGAACATTACAGTCGCTCAGCTGGTGAAGAAACCAGTTCTTAAAAGAGGGCCACACGTACAGCGATATTTAAGGACAGGGCACCCCATTCCTTGTGCTGATGCCATAACACATGGCGTGTGAGCGTAGTATATTTCTTTGGTGTTCTACACACGTGTATCTTACTCTTGTGCTCTTCTGCCTGCCTCGGAAGCTGAGCAGGTCAAGTTTTATCTCAGCGGAATGGCCGCGCGCCTTGTACAATTAATCTCATGCACACGAGGCGTCGCTTGATACAGCCACTTAAAAGGTCTGTATGTATGCGCTGTTATTAAAATGTAGCAAAGCTTCACATATTTTCGTATACCTAATTTACACCCTTCTCACTACCAAACAAGACGGATCATAGTAAGTGTATCTTTATCACTCAATTTATTGAGTCCTCTTATGCAGAAGATTGTGTGCTCTTCGCGGTCCATAGCTCGAATACACCTACTTCCGCTAAAACTCTTAATTTTTTGTAAAAAAGAACTCTTGTGACTTTATTTATATTGAACCATTTCTCGACTTCCAATTACAGCTGAACGTTAAGTTCGAATAACGTTTACTGCTAGTTTGTAATTCTGACAAAGGATTTGTATACTTGAAGTTAAGGTCATTATAAGCTTATGAACTATGGGGGTCACATACCGGTAAGATAGAGGGAAACATGTTTGCAGCGAGAGGTTGACCTAGAGGCAGAATTCGAGACAGTTGAATCCTACTATATTTGTCTTCGATTTGTGTAATTTAAAAGAAGAGAGTGGAACGTGCCATACATTCCACTGAATTCCTATGTAGTCATTGTTCTATAGTATGTTAGTACTATAGATCATGCCCACTGTAGCTAGTAACACCGTCGAAATTGAAATATTGCCTCGCTTCGAGAACGAAGTGAAATTGCCTAGGGGAATATTCAGAGCCATGACACAGGAAGATACAGGAGGTGGGAGAAAGTTACGTAACGAGAAACTTCGTAATTTGTACTCTTAACTTAATATCGTTGAATTATATAATTAAGCTATAAGTGGGTAGGACATGTTGAATGCGTGACATTTGTTTTTGAGAAGAGAGTATGCATTCAAAGAGTTTATTCGCTCTTAGACAGTGATTTCAGAATAAGCTTATAAAGGAACAGTAAGAAATAATTAATATTACATAGTCCCTGTCTGGTGAATTGGTAGATATTTCTCAACATATTTCTGAAGGAAATGTTAAGTTCGGAATTCTTCATAATGCAAGGTACGAAGATGGTGTTCATAACAGACATATTTCAGCTTAGAACGAATTGAAGGACAATGAGTAATTTGAAATGGAA